GAATTAAATTATATAATACCTCAACTTATTTTTAATATTTGGAAGGAATTATTATCCATAACATTTATTATCTTAAATATATAATTTTAAAACAACTTTTTTTTTTAACAAAACATACATTTGATATTATTATTCTTAAAGAAAATATTTAATTTGATAATATGATAAATAAATTTCACCTCATATAATATTAATTATATAATTGTGTTTGAAAAAAATATTAATGTTAAAATTAAATTTATATTTAATATTAATAATTTTTTTTAAAATAAATTTTATATTAATATGAATTCTACCTAATAAACATAAAAAAATTAATATATACAAAATTAATATAAAAAAACAAAATACTAAATTAATAAAAACAAATTCATTATATAAATAAATGTTTTATATTAAATTAATTGAATATATTTGTAAGGACATTTTTTGAACATTACATAGTAAATTTACTGCATTCTCAGAATAAATCCTCCAAAACAAAAGTATTTATCCAAAAATTCTCAGACATTCTTATAATTTTCGTATAAAATAAACATGGCTATCAAAAGATGCTGGACATCTAAAATTCTAGACAGATGTCGGACATCTACTTTTTCGAAAAACAAACAACCCGTTTTTTCGTGGTAATCAAACATTCTCATTGAACGTCCATCTGGATCCCCAGATTTGTTTTACAAGAATGTAAGATACACGGACATCTTGAGATTCCAGGGTATCCAGGGATGCCGATACGGGAGGCATTTAACAATCGAGTTTTAGATGTCTTTTTGAAACATGGGCTTTCAAGATTCCCGTGTTGAGCATATCCACTCTTTAAATTTTTATCCTTCATTTTTTTCCCATACATTTTCTTTCATCAATTTTATTTATTTTTCCTAAAAAATCTTTATTTTTATTTTTATATTATAGTTTAAATGAATTAACGTACTCATCATAGCATAAACAACTATATGTAATTAAGTATATCTGTACATTACATTTACCTATAAAATAAACTGTAATTAAATTATATAATATCTCCATTTATTTTTAATATAGTGATAGAATTATATTATTACTAATATTTATTATCATAAATATATAATTTCAAAGCAAAATTTTTTACAACCGACATACCTATGATATTTTTCCTATTAAAAAAAATAGAATGTGATAATAAGATAAATAAATTTCACCCAAGATAACACCAATTATATGATTGTTTTTTTTAGAAAAATATTAAAGTTGAAAATGGAATTTATATTAAATTAATACGAATTAATATGTTGTAAAAAATAACATATAAAAAACAAAATTTTGAATTAATTCAGATAAATCTAGTATGTTAAACGAATGTATAAATTATACATGGCTATCCAAATATTTATGTATATCCTTATAAATTTTCCTACAAAATAAACATGGCTATCTGAAGATGCACCATATCTAAAATTCTAAACATCTGAAATTCAAAACATCTGTAGATGCCAGATATCTACATCCCAAAAAATAAACGGCCTCTTAATGAATAGATTTCCATGGCATATCGTCATCAAAGTTCTTAAATATCGCGAGGTCTCAATTATATGAAAATGTCGAAAAATATCAACGAAAAGTTGATGTTTAATATATATTTCTAATACACTTTGAAAATCAAGAAATTCATTCAGAAATATGAGCATCTCACTTTTAAAATACGATTAAAATTCTTATTAATTATATTATGCCTATTATTAATGATACTTTTTATATTTCTTCCATTTTTTTTATAGTATAATAGGAAGGTTGATTTATGATATCCAACTTATTGAACTATAGAAATGTCAGTATGTATGAAAACTTAATACTTTCGCTGCAAGAAAATTTAGCTTTACCAATGAAATGAATCGTCGCCAAAAATTTAAAAGAAAAAAAATCATCAGAAAAGGGTTATTGCGACGATACTTAGCTTCATCGTCACCACAATCGTCGTTATAGTCCCGTCATGAAAAACTTATGACGATGAATTTCAAATTTTATCGTCAAAGATATCTTTACTAACGAATTCTAGTTTGTCGCTATAGATCTTCTTGGAGATGAAATAAATTCATCGTCGTAGATACTTATAGTGACGAAACTGAATTTGTCACCAAAAGATAGTTAGGGCGACGAAATTGATTTCGTCGTGAAGTAGACCTATGGCAATGAAAAGGAATTCATTGGCAAAGATATCTTTCGCTACAAATGGCAAATTTCGTTGCAAAAGGTACAGTTTTTCTCCTTTTTTTTTTCAATATTCCTATTATTTTCCCAAATAAATTCAAATATTAGAATTGGATATGGGTTCAAATTTGTCAAATAAATATTAAACAAAATTTCGTTTCGCAATCTAGTACAAATAGTTTAATACAATAAGTCAAATTCGACGATCTAAACTTATTCTAAAAAGTTTTATCATCAAGTCTTCACGAAACCTTCTCTAATTTTCAAAAGCTTTCGATAGAGAAATCGAACGAACCTAAAAAAAAACAAATGACAAATAAACTTATGTGTTTAATGCTTAAAAACTAATTTGCAAGCCATAAAAATGCCTAATTCACTTCACATGCTATAAACTTCAAATAGAAACATAGTTAAAATATTTATGACCCACGTTCTAAATGACTACCATAAGATAACCACATTTACAATCGTTTAATTCTAACAACACTCTATATGACCGTACCTATTTTGACGAGCTGGCTCCACTAGAACGAGTTATAAATTTTAACACCATTGATCTCAAATCTGACACTTCATCGTTTAAACTCGCAATCTTATAATCTTCTTGTGAAAGACGCCTCTCTAACTTTTTGTCTTTTTGCGAGAGATGCTCTTCAAATGTTCCTCTTAGGAGTAGATACTTTTTCAGATAGTTCTTGTTCCGCTGTGAAGAAGCTACACTAAATGCAGAGTTGTGTCTTCACCAGATTTATGATGATTTTCTTGAGCCTTTTCAGAGCCTTTGAAATAATTAATCAACAAATAGTATGCCAATTATGGATCCTACATAAGTTTATCTTGACATACTTTTATTAATAAAACTCGTTATAAATTACATGCTAAAACAAATTTAGCATTGTATTATATATATATATATGTATTCTTTAGGGTTACCTCGTAGATATGCCAACAAATTAAAGTTGATTGTAAATATAATAACTATTTTTCTTATTAGAAAATATATATATATATAAAAATGGATAGTCCGAAAAAATAGAAAAGTCGATTATACCCTTAAATCGACGATATTCTAAAAATGAGAAAAAACTTCAGGTTTATATACCTGTGATATCATGTATATCTATAATATACTTCACACTAGATATATTAGTTCTATCAATAATGTATCTAAAACGAAGTATATCACTGATATATTTAGTATGATAACCCTAAAACGATGTACCTAAAATAAAATATATTTAGTACGACTGATATACTTCATATTAGTTTTATCAAATTTCCAAAATCATGTATGAATCCTTACTAAATTTAGAGTCAATGAATTGTGTTTCATTTTAGTTAAACAATTACAAGTGTGTGGGATCCAATCATTGACCTTCTTAAGATGGTCGTAAATGTCTTTATCTACTAAGTTATGCTTGAATTGACCGTCTCTAATATGTGTTTTGATTGCACACCATCCTTGTATATTCAAACATCTATTCCTCGCCTTGATTATTGTTAAAGATTGGAAAAGCTTATAAAAGTATAAGAATAAAAAATTAAAATTTGCCACTTTATAATAAATGGGAGAGATATATCCAAAAGGAGGATATATGTTGAGTATTCTACTTTAGACTTCAAACACACATAAATTACTCAATCTTGGTTGAAATTAATTAATGTTCTAGAAGATAGATTATAAAGACTTTAGCAAGTCAATCCTTGACTTTCAAGGTTTAAATTTACTGGTTTCTTTTTCTTTTTTAATGAAATTGTCAAGGAGAAGATTAGTAGTCTATGAATTGTAATTTCATGAATGCTTTGATGAATCTGTTGTTTTTTTATTTTTGGGTAATTTTTATACTTTCATTTAGGACTAAAGTATTAGGTTATGGGAAAAGTATATTAAAGGCATAGATTTTAGATCTAAATATGTATTTTTGTAGAAGATTCAAACAAGAAGGAAAATAGTTAAGAATATGAATAAAATATTGAGTATGTATATCGTCATATAACCTATTAATTAAATTTTTGGCAAAATACATTTTTGGTCCCTAAGATTTGAGGTAGGTGTCTACTTGGTCCCTGAAGTTTCAAAATGAACACTTTGAGATAGGTGTCTAATTCGTCCTTGAAGTTTCAAAATGAATACTTTTGATCATTGAGGTTTAAAGTAGGTGTCAACTTGGTCCCTCAAGTTTTAAAATAAACATTTCTCAAACTTATCTAAGGCATCGAGTGAAATGTTCAATCTTCCGCTCTCACGCACATTTATATATATATATATATATATTTTAGTATAAAGGTGAGAGAAATTTGAACTCATGACCTCTTAATAAGAGATAAATATCAATTACCACTTAACTAAACTCATGTTGGTCTCACTCTCGTACTTGTTTTAATAATTACTAAGATTATTAGCAAGCGTCCCATACAAAATCTTATTTATGTAATTTTCGAGTAAAAAGTGGAAGGTTTATTCATATCCTCTTAATAAATGAAGTTACGAAAATACCCCCATCACAAAGAAAGTTACAGAAGTACCCCCATCATAATAAAGTTACAAAAATACCCCCCAGCTGGCTTTATTAGAATGGCAATTTTTTAAAGCTAGGATAATGTGATGTAACTTCCTCACATTTTCAAAGTCAGAAAAGAACCAAGTGGCAGTGCCCCAGTTTTGAACAACTAGAAAATGGTATTTAGTTGACTTGCAAGGGTAATTTCATCCTTCCAAAAATAAAGACAAGTTATCAAATATACATATATGTATATATTATATAGATCAAAGTTTATCCTTTTCTTAAAAAAAAAACAGAAAAAAAAAAGTCATAGAAAAGAAAGGATAAGACTGTAACTAATGTTAGACAATTAGAATGAAACATAAAGCTATCTTCTCTCACATTTCACACACACAAGTATTGAAATTTGAAGCAGCATACAGATACAACACCATGGAAAAAGACTGCAACTTTTTTTCTTACCTCCATGCCGAAGTTACAACCAAACTTTTCTCTTCCCACCCAAAATGAATTGTCCCCATTTCATCGTACATCTTGAACCGGTCGCAATACTCCTCGACAAGTTTACGGATCGGGTCGGTCACGTTTTCGCTCATCGAACATGAAGTGAACCCCGCCATCATCATTCTTGCTCTCCATTTCCCTGCGACTTCATATCGCTCTACTCTGTCTTCGCCTTCACAAGCTACTATGTTGACTATGTCCTTTGCCAAGCACTGCCTTTCGACGTTTATTCTGTCTTGACTGTCCCTTGGGAGTGTCGCATCGAGAGAATCGTAAATGGCTGAGTAGTACTTGTAGGTTTCGACGAATCTTGCAAAGAATGGGGTGGTGTTTGCGTTCATGTCTTGTTCGACGACTGTTACGAGTTTTGGGTTCAAGCTCTTGACCATTCGGAGAAGTCGGTCTCGTAGGTTTACGGTCGAAACGCTTTCATCTGGCATGTGGTGAAGCAGAAAAGCGAAGTTGACTATGAGTGCTTCTCCAGGTCGGGAGGCGAGCATTGAGGGAGTGACATCTGAAGCATTTGAGGCGATTGCACGAAACTCAAATGGAACCCGCAGCGCTTTTGCCAGCTGCTCAAGCCTTTGTCCAATGTGTCTAAGACCTCCAACAGGGCGCTGTACCGATTCGGGGTCATCAACCCCGGTTAACCTCAAGTGTGGTGGCTTACCTGGCTGGGTTGCTAACATCTGAATCAATTTTATGTATTGAGTTCCTTGGCTTACGTCAAAATCGACTATATGAATTCTCTTCTCATCTTTTGCTGCCTCGATGATGGCACAATTCGCAGCCATAAAGCCAAATTTGAAGCAAGGACAGACCTCGAAAAGGATCTGCATAGCTGCGAGACGGTCAGAGGAAGGGGGTTCTTTGCATCTCAAAGCTTTATAAAGACATTTACCCGATTCCAATATCCGAGCAGCAAGACCTTCCACCATATACGCAGCAATCCTCTGTGAGGGATCTCCCTGAACAGAAACCATCCCCCGGAGCTGTTCGATCATGGCTGATGCTTCTCCAATGTTCTGCTCTGAGATAGCAGAAGCACATTCTAAAAGCATTTGTCTGGGATTCAGTGAAGATATCTGTGATGCATCCTTATTGCTGCTGATGGTACTGAAATTAGAATCAGTCGATGAAGATTCCTTTGGCGAGTCATGAAGCAGAGCGTCTCGAATCGAGTTTGCCCATTCGCTATCGATTTCCATGCTTTGGCCATTTGCAAATATCACGTCCTCATAATCAGCAGCATCGGGGTCACCAAGCAGATCTCTCTCCAATTCTTGCAACTTCAGTCTCACTTGATCATCCTCAAAATCCAATGCTTCTGGACTTGTACTCTCGAGGCAAGCTGATTCAGAGTTTGATTGATAAGCATCAAAAATTGTAAACGAACCAGACAAAGGGGAGAGAGAATCAGCCCTTAGCCCAAACGAGGCAGCATCTGGGTGAAACGAATTGGTAGAAATGCCCGAAATTGACAACTCTTCTATCGGGAAGTTGAGGAAATACTTCTCATAGTTCTCACTGCAATATGAATCATTCATGTACATTGTCCTATTCTTGTCGGAGCCAAATGTTTGGTTCGACAAATCAGGAGCATTCTTGGTCCCCTTCAACGAGTAAAGCTTCCGACTTCCGTACGATAACGGAGATGGATCAGACGGCCTAACTAACGACATCGGTCCCTTCGTCCTAACTCTGCTTTTTCAGGAAGACCAACTCTTTTACCATAGATTTTGTACCCTCTGTTGAAAGCTGGGGAAAGTAAACACAGCTCTTTTAACCATAAATCGCAGATTACTCACAAAAAGTTTAAATAAAAAATCGAGCATAACACTCAAATTCTCTCAAATTCTCGATCAATCCCTTACGAATTCGCAGGGAAAAACAGAGAGTTACGAATTCGCAGGGAAAAACAGAGAGTTATATAATTGAAGTACTAATAGATCGGATCAAAGTTCGGGAGCTATCTTTTCTTTGATAAAAGGAGATATAATGGTCAAATTGAGACAAAATTGGTAAGTGTCAATTTTAGAAATCTAAGAATCCGATCCACCAACAGATTTATCATTCTAATGTTTGTTTGTTAGAAAACAATTACCTAATATGCTTAATCGCATGATGAACATGTGGCTCAACAAAAAACTCCATTGAAGAAGCTTTATGAAGAAAAAGGCTTGAAATAGCAAAGGAATCAGAGCTATTTGGTTACGGATTTAAAACCAGAAACAGGACAGAAGTTTCAGAGAAAAAGAAGAAGATTACTTCTCAAATTTAGCCCATCAGTTTAAACAGAAATCAGAACTATAAGAGAAACAAGATCTCCATTAAATTCAACAATCCCAAACAGAGAAGAAGAAGCTCTAGCATGCAAGCAAACAAGAAAGAAACCAATTCATCTAAAGGGCAAATACCTGATACAGAATCAGCAAAAATTAACCTCGAAATCGACCTGAAAAGAAGCAGAAAAAACCCTCAATCGGGAGAACCCAAAATCAAACCCTTCTTCTGGGTTTTCAATATTTGCCGCTTTTCGATATCTGGAGATGAAAGATAAGAAAAAGAAAGAAAACCCAAGAAAAAATCACAAGACCCAACAGGGGAAAATCGATGTTCTGGAGTTCCAAGTGCGAGAAAAGTAGAACTCACCAGAATTTATTAATGGAGAAGGGAAAATTCGCAAGAGGTTGAGGAAATTTCTTGAGGGGGATTAGAAGATTTTTGGGGTTTCTTGAGTTGGGATTTTGGGTTGCATGCGGATGGATGGATGGATGGGTGGATGGTCAATGGTTTGGTCCTGTACCAATTTTTGTCTGACTAAAAACGATGGTTTTGAAATTGGAAAATATCACATCACCCCTACAAAATGCTGACGACACCGCCGTGGATGAGTAGTGCCATTTTCTTGAAGCTCGATCTTCGCCGCGCCATTTGGGTTTATTTATTTATTTTTTTTAATATAAAATATTGGAGAGGAAATTCGAACTCACGATCTCAGAGTTATATATCGCTTCGCTTTACTCCATTGAGTTTATTGTAATGAATCATTCATGTAATTTCAAACTCAATCCTCATCGTTCGATGAGTTGAAGACTTTTTGGAAGGGAGATTTTGGAAAGGCTTTTGGGAAATGGTTTTTGGGGGTGGGATAAAGTGAAAATGGGGTACGGAAGTGATTTTTCTAAACGGAAAGTACAAAAATGGGAAGATTTGGTGAAGGAATTGAAACACTCTTTACTTGCTAGAAATTTTAAGAAGAATGAATTTTTCACGAATAGAATGTTATTCTTTTTAGTATGTTTGAGTTGAGTTGACTATATATAAACGAGTGTTCGATTTTACAAAGAGGTATCTTTTCTTTTATTCTTATAAGTTCAACATATGTGGGATCGGGATAGAAACTTTAGATTAAAAGGAGTCATACATGTTGGATCTATTGAAATATGTTTGTATTGTTAGTACAAAATTTGTTGTTAACATGAGTATAGCTCAATTAGTTAAGACATATATCTCTGATTGGTTAAACTTCTTTAAACATTCTTCAAATTCTTCTGCTATTAATCGTGGGTAGCTAAAAAAATGTTTTCATGTTTGTAAATATAGCCAAGAAAGAGACCCAAATTTTAGCATACCAGCTAAATGGTGATTAACAGCTTTTGAATTTTGTATGGCAAAAATTTTGAAATATGATTTTCGATTTTTGTTAGTTATTTCAATTTTAGAATTTTCAGGTATACTACGTAGGATAATATCAATGGTATATTAGATTTATATATCATGCATATCATTCGTATATCAATATTTATATAAGGTATATCGACATAATGTTGGTATATCAGCTTTCATATATTTAGGTTAAAAAAAGATATGCATTTAATCTAAAATCTATATATAGCACAACAGAAGAGAAATTAAACATGCTATAGAGAAGTAATATATCAGGTAAATCTGCCTTCATATCAGTTATATCATGATACTTATATCAGTACTCATAATAAGGTATATGTAGCATGTATATCATTGGTATATCAGTATATCATTATTTGGACTCCGTGTTTATCAATGATATATAGAACTTTTGCTTTCTTTTGCGTGGATTGAGTCTCTAAATTTTGTTATTTTTGCAAAATTTGATAGTGATTAGTATTTTAAAAAAAATTATATTTATCCATTAAATGAATTTTTTAGTTATAAAAATATGCCTTTATAAAAAATAATAAATATAAAATACTTTTAAAAACTATTTGATTATTTATTTCTTTTTAAATCATTTTGTTTTTAGAATAACCGTGCACTCAAATTTTATCTAATTTACTTTTTGAATAAAAATCTAATCTCTTTAACATTCATTTCCACTTTTTTGAAACTACTCAATAAATTAAAATGGACAAAAATTAAAGATGAAAATAAAATTTAAAGGATAGATTTTTTATTACTAAAAAAAATAATTGATACAAACAAATTGTGCACATACTATCTTTGACCACCCAAACCAAAATTTCATCATTAGAAAAAAAAAAAAAAAACTAATGAATTCTCTTGAAAAAGAAAAGAGAAAATCAAAGATGCATGAGTAGAGAGTGTTGGGAATAACGCGGAATTAATTAGTTTTGCAAAAATAATAAAAATAAATAAATAAATAAATTTGGAATGGCAGTACAGAATATTAATTATTAGAATATTGAATTTGGTGCAATGAAGTCAATGTTTTCGGACGCTCCCCTTTGACTTTACCAACTCCTCGAACCACCATTTCTTTCCATTTACTCTGTGATTACACCTATTTTTTCAAATACGTGTGTCCCCAAAAACACTCAAAACACAAATTTCAACTCTCAAATAATATGTATAAAAACAAAAAAAGTGAGTGATTCAATATAGTAGTCAAGAGATTGGGCAATATGTGGAGGTGAGGGTTCGAACTTATGATCTCTTGATCAGAGATAAATGTCTTAACCATTTGAGCTATGTTCGGTTTGACTTCTATCCAAACGTCTTGTTACTAAATAAGATGTTGTCATTATCTATAAATTAAGGATCTTCCCCTTTATAATTGATTTCAATTTGTCTTTATTAAATATCCAATAATTAATCCTCCCTTTGGAATAAAACATTACCGAGCCTCCCTCAAGTAGTTATCCAATCTGTAATTTAGTACTTTTGAGTACATTATAAAAGATTGCTCTCTTATTCATGTCGACTTGTAATCTATAAAGCACATTGCTTGTCTTGGCAGAACTCAATCACAGATTACATTAGTTGACGACCGCTATTTTATCACACACTTCAACATCCTTCCTTTAAACAAAAATCTATCAAGTGTCTCCTAATTTCAACAATAATCTTTCATTTTGCTTGTTGATTTTTTTAAGCTTTATTTTAAATTATATTGTTGACATAATTATAGTTCACTTTAATAGATTCATCCATAAATTTATATGACTACATCTAAAAAGTTCACAACTTTTTTGTTCGATATTGGATGATTTTGTTGACGTGGGTGAGTTTGAGATATGACATTGATACTTTTACAATGTAAAGACCATTTTTGAAATATTTATAACGATGTTTTTTTTTAACAAACTTTTCCAACTATAGTAAATAATCTCTATTTATCTTATTTTACCAATTAAAAACAAAGGTTAAATTTTGTAGTTTTTTCTTCTTTCCACCACCGCATATTTTAATTTTTTTTTAGTATAACATATAGGACTGAAGATTCGAACTCGCGACTTTTTGATCGAAAATATATACCTTAATCAATTAAATTAGGTTCAAATTGACATTTTGATGTATTTAATATTTATTTTTTTTAATATTTAATATTTATTAAGTACTTTGATTATTATGTGAATCTTCAAAATAAGTTAAAGATAAAATATTTTAAATTTTCATATTTTAAGCAAATGGCATATTTTCGCCATTTTGTTTTACAAATATTTTAGTTATAGAATTTGCGTCCAATATGTTTGTTATCTGGCAAATCAAAGGCGACAAGTGTCCAAGCTTCAATAAGCCACGTGGACCAAGTCAATGAGAATCGGACGAATATTGTACTGGGTCCAATTACGAGCTCACCGATTTGAGGGGTTAAAAGTGCACCTGGACAACTTGTACAAGAGATAGCCAACAGCTAAGGCACCAACACCTTGTGCCCAAACTACGATATATTTTAGAGAATCATCCAGGATGTTGCCCCCTCTCCATTTTACAGTACACTGAGGGAAAGAGGATGTTGCTGGTACCCACTACTCCTGACGCGGCGCATTCTGCCCTTTATATCTGCCTCCACAACCTCTCTCTCTCCCTCCATATATAAAGGAGAAGAAAACTCTAATGAATGTAAGTCGAATTTTCCTACATAACTCCTCGTGAGAATTCGGCATATACTCTCAAGCAGATTCTCACTCGGAGATTACTTCTTCTTTGCTCTACTTACTTCATAACCATTTGCTATCGTCTTGAGTTCTAACTAAAGAATCAGAGTGCATTAGATAAAGTATCACATCGGTGCTAGGTTTCTGTGTGCGAAGTAATCAAGAGCTAAGAGACAAACACGTATGTAGCATCTCCGTGACACACGTTGCAAGCCGCCAATATTCACGAATTAAATTATGTATATGATCAGTAGCTACAACTAGTTAGCTCGGTTGCCATGTTATGTCGTCGAATCTACAAAATTCAGCCTATTACAACTAGTGAATTAACTTAAACAAAACCATACTGTAACACGGTTGCTGAAATGTAATAATTTTCTCTACTTGGCGTGATGAGTCCTCATGCTCATAATTATTTAGCATTGCCTATCATAAGCTTGATATGATTTTATATCAGTAGGCCTAAATTTGAAAGGATTTAGTCTTAAAAAAGTAGTGTAATAATTCATATACTTTATTGAATATGTGAATACAATAAAATTTATCATATTAACACTTTGATATTTTCTACCATTAATATGAAATATTTTATTTAAACGATATTTGAAAATATTAGGGTTACTGGATATAAACTTAAACAACTTACAATGATGTTGAAAATGCGACTAAAGTCTCAAATTGACTAAATAAAGGAAAAATATATATGGTATATAAGTGAAGGATAACATCTCTATTGGTATGAATTTGTTTTTGAGTGAATGAAGAAACAAAGGAATCAGAGTTTAGGTTCAAAGTGAACGATATGATACTATTGTAGAAATGTTGAAGATGTATTACACTCATGCCCCTAATTTAACCTTGTTGGTAAGTGTCGAACAAAATATCTTTTACGATAATAGTTTTAAATAATCTAACTTGGAGTTTTCTGATTAAATAAATTCTCTTGATATCGGGTTTGGGTTTTTTCTAAAATATTTATTATTGACGGTAATTTGTATATAATATATATATTAAAATAAATATTAATTTGTTGGTCATGGTACATGGTTACTCGTCTCATTACTAATATTGTTTTGAGACGAGAACTGCGTGAGATATATGAAAGATTAAAATTATCCAAAAGTTAAAAAATAAAAACTAAATAAAAGTACTAAAATGAAAATATGACTCTTTTTATTTCTCTTTCCTAAATGAGAAGAGAATGAGATTTAAATCTAGACATTTCAACTAAAACGTGGACTGACCTATATCTTATCAAAGAAAATTATCAATATATGACACATGAATAATAGTTGTTTTTATTTTTCTTGTGCATTAAAATTTCGAATTAATTAATGTTAAAGTAATATATGAAATGTCAAACATTTATTATTCTTCGTCAATTTGGTTCAACTTATTACTGTCTTAATAATTAAAGAAAATGTCATCCTA